GGTACCGGGAACCGAACTCACGACCTTGCACTTGCCAGGCAGGTGCTTTGCCGCTGAGCTAAATCCCCAGCCCCAGATCCAAAATATTTAGTGAACAAATTAACTGGTGCTTTCATGTCAGCAGTTGATAATGATTGATTACTACATACTGTAGAAGGCAAAGCACAAATCTTAGGAAGTGTAAAGCAGGTAACCATTTTAATGGCATAGACACAGAAGGTTTGAACAGAAGCTAAGATGAATCATAATACATAAGATAAAGAGAGAAGAATGGGAAAGAAAAAGAGGAACCAGCATAAACAGAAGCTCAGAGGCAAGAAAATACACAGCACTCAGGGATTAGTTTTGCCTGAACACAAGGTATGTGGGAAATACGTAGAAATTTTGAGCCAGAACTTGATACATGACTACTTTTCTAAAGAGTCTGGACTTTAGCTTGAATGTTACAGCTATGGATGAAATGGATGAAATATAAAGAATGATTCCGTTAGGGTTATTCCAGTATACTAGGTATTGAAATGAATGTCTGATGAATCGCAAACACATTGTGTCAGGTGAAAACAATAACAACTGCATATTGTATCATTCCATTACTTGAACTTTCCAGAAAAGGAAAATCTTTAGAAAGCAGGTTAGTGGTTACCAGAGGCTAAAGTGTTAACAGTGGAAGCACTGCAAATGAGCAGAAGAGGTCATTTTCTGATAATGGAAATATTCTACAATTGGATTGTGGTAATGGTTACACAGCTATTTAATTTACTAAAAGCCACTGAAATATACGTTGACAAATCCTGTTGAAAAATGAAGGCCTATGCTTGGGTATAGGCTTCAGAGTAGAAAGGGAGGGGTGAAAAGAACAACTGTAAGAGTTAGAATTAGGAAGAAAGAGATACAATATACAGATGAAACAGAAAAAAGTTAAAATGACTCAAGTTTCTAGCTTTAAGGACAGGGAGGATGTTGGTGCTATTAAACACAGGGAACACAGGAAGTTGAGAGGTTAGAAGTGAGGTGTCGAGGACTGTTCGAGTTGAGGCAAGTATAATGTGGCGGTGTGCGCTAGTCATTTGGCAGTGTCCAACAGCAAGATGAAATTGCATGGTGTGCTGGCTTCTCCTTTCCTTTATGCCTTCACTTAGTGGTGAAATGTAAATAATCTGAAATCTTGAAAGTCAGTGAGAACCAAGAGTGGACAGACAGCTTCAAATATACTGCTGCAGGATGAAAAGACTGACAGACATATTTCAGTCTGCTCTTTAAATAAAAGCACATTCTAAATGTCACAATAGAAAGTATGAAGAGAAAACAAGGTTTGTTTAATGAGATCTTCGGTTGTACAGCAGCTTGAATATTAATCCATTACAAACGGATATAATTAAAATGTAATCTGCAAGCGACTGTTACAAACGTCATGAAAATCCCAAACTTAAACCCAGTAAAGGTCAAATTGGTAAAAAGGGTCCAGAAGATAAATGAACCGAATAGGTTAATACTCACATTTAAATATTTTAGAACAGTTATCAGAGCATAATGCAGCTTACTCCTGGTTAAGTCCAACTTGAAATCATTGTCGACAAACTAATCATTTTTCTGTGATAGAAAAGTTTCAGCAATGTGTATTTCAAAGTAAACGAGAAAGGAAAACACAACCACCAACTACTTAAAACTTTTCGGATTCAGAACTATGACTCTAGCGTGGGTGAGACATGAACCAGGCTGTGATTAAAGCTCCTTTGGCCTCAGTTTCCTCCTTTGTTAACACTGGACGGGCGAATGAGGCCAGGTTTTGCTGTTTTCCCTGGGCAGTGGGTGACTCCTAAGATACGGTGAGGAAGGCGGGCCAGGGGCCAGACACCAGGCTGACCGCTGGGCCGGCGCAAACCAAGCAGTGCGCCCCCTCTGCAGGCGTCAGCGAGCCCCGCGGCCCCCCAAGTCGGGGGGCAGGAAAAAGGACGGAAGGACCTGGCTCTCCTTCCTCTCCTCTTTCCGGACTTCCTACCTTCACTGCATACAACTTCTCGCCTTTCTGCCCCAGGTACACCTTCCCGAAGGCGCCACGGCTAATGGGCTTCACTATGGTGAACTCCTCAATGGAGGGCGGTCTTGGAACCGGGATTGTGTTCATCCATTCCCCCGTCGCCGTGCCTCCTCCACTCTCCTCGTTCCGGGCGGTGGGCTCCATCGCTGGACAGCGCAAACAGCGCACCAAGGCAGGCCCACGCCCGGACCTCTCGCCCAGCCGCGACTCCCGCCAACCGAGTTCGAAGTTAGGCCACGCCCACCCGCGCGCCAGCCGTGACGTCACCGCGGCGCCGCGCGCGGCCCAAGGCAGCCACGTTCCCGTCGCCCAGAAAGCCAGTGGGCCAATTCCGTGGCCGCTGAGGCGCTGGGAAGGCGTGGCGGACTTCCCGAGGGCGGTAACCGCGGCCCACTGACATCATTTGTTATGAGCGAGGAGGCACAAACAGTTCTTGGCCGAGAAGGGACAGCTGGAACTGAAGTCTGAATCACAGGATGTGACCAGATTGCTTTACCCGCCCTCTCCGCAGTCTGGACCTGAAAATTTCCCCTCCCTGGCGACCGCCCACCCCGCGAGACACAGAACTCTGTTCGGATTGTTCCTTAACGCAGTGGCTGGCGTTGAGATTTGGACGCCACGGGAGTCGCCGAAATTGGAGAAGCCAGACGAGCAGGAAGCGTGACTGAGTCTGTGATCCGATTTTTCACAGGCTAGAATTCGCCTGACGGAAACAGACTAAGGCCAACAGGGAGAACTTTAGGTTTACTGGGAGGAAAATAAAGCACGCTACATTGTAGCAAACGAAACGTTGTCAGCTCGAGGCTCGGTTGGAACAAGGAAATATGTCGGAGGATTTGATAATTAAGCCGCAGGACGTCGGAGAGAGGAACAGTAGGGTGAATGCGTTGCCTTCCTTAAAGTAAAACAAAACGCGCAGAGCCTAGGAGTTTTGGGGGGTTAGCGTTCGTCCGCACCCACTACCACCCGGGCAGGAGCACAGGGCGGGCGGCGGGCGGGTCCCGTGCCCCGGAAGTACTGTTGCGTTAGAGCGTGGGCTTCCGGGTCAGATTGTCGTTGTAGCAGCTGTAGGAAGGGGAGGCCATTTTCCATTTCTGGGTAGGGAGAGGGGCTGGGGAGGAGAGAAAGAAGGATAAAAGAAAAGGGCTCAGCGCCTCCCGGCCGGGCCGAGAACACAGGATAGTTTCGGCAGGCGGGAGAGGTCGCTGAGGCCCCGGAGGAGATGTTTTCCCTGTCGAGCACGGTACAGCCTCAGGTGAGCCCCGCATCGAGCCCGTTTTTTCTGCGGCCCTGCCCGTAGCCCTTTTCCAGTTGCTTTCGTAGAATCGATTTTCCGGAAGCGAACCAGAGAGGGAAGCGATGATCCAGAGCGATCTCCGTGGCTGAAAGTGGGTCACGGGACAACGCTGAGAGTAGGGCCTGAAAGTTAGAGGGCTTTCAAGCTTTTGGGGCGGAGGCGTGGTATAAGCGCGATGGGGATCGTGGCGCAGCGGGTCGAGTGCGTGAGAGTTCCGCCGGAGAACCGTCAGGCTTTGTGCAGATCGGACGTTCCCGAGTGGGGGTTGGGGAGATGGCGAAGCCATAAACATACAGGGAGCAGGTATTGGGCGTTCTTTCCCACTCTCTCGGGACTTCTCGTTTTCTTTTAAGTGGAATTTAAACCGAACATTCAATAATTTGAATAACTACCGGAATTTTTTCCTTTTTCGATTGAAATAACGAAGATAGTTAACTTCTTGCATTTAAAATTTAGGCTCATCCTCATCTCCATGTTTTTGGAAAAGCAAAAGATAGGACAGAGAAAAATGATTGTGTGGGATTTCTGTTACCCTTTTCCAGGAATAATCACTTGTTTGTTTGTTTGTTTGTTTGTTTTTTGGAGGCGGGGGGAAGCTTTTTGAGACGGTCTCGCTATGCAGTTCAGGCTGGCCTTGAGCTCACTTTGTAATCCAGGCTGGTGTCGAACTCGCAGTGACCCTCCTGTCTCAGCCTCCCGAGTGCTGGGATTACAGGCATGCGCCACCACGCCCGGCTCAGGAATAGTTACTGTGACTATTTTTTTTTTTTTGGTACTGGAAATCGAACTCAGGACCTCGAGCTTGCCAGGCAGGCGCTGTGCTGCTGAGCTATATCTCCTGCCCCATGTTACATTCTTGATTCATTTCAGAAGTCGTCTTTGGATCGTACCATTTTGATAGGTTTCATTTTTTTCTTGAAAGTGCTCATAATTAGCAGGCAAGTATTTTTTGAAGACCTTCAGTTTAAATGTTGTTTAAATTGACACTCTTTAACTTCTTGATTTACAATATGATTGTGTTCTTTTGTTTATAACTTCTTTGTGCTAGTAGAGTATGGTTGGATAATAGAAAATGAAGTAGTTATTGGGTAGTGGGTGAACAAAGCAAGTGTAGAATCTTTTATCAGTGAAATGAAGTAAAGATGAGTAAGAGCCTTGTGAACAGTGAACAGTTATTTCAGGTCTAGAGTAAAGTGTTAGAAGATCCCGAGAGAGCAAAGAGTTTTGTAGGTTGGAGGAACAAAAAGCAAGACTAATATCACTGGAGCATTAGTGATTAAGCTTTAGTAGCACTGTCAAGTGTGAGATTTGCAAGAAGCCTTAAGGGAGTTTGCATTTCATTTTCAGCCCAGTGGTACCATTGAAAGTTTTAAAACATGGTAAGATTTTCATTTTTAATGGATCACTCTGACTCCTTGCTATGTACAGAATATGAGAGGGCAGGAATCCAAGAAAGGGATATTGCCTCACCAACGGTGGCAGCGATTATGGAAAGAAAGAAAATTTCATGAGAGGTAGAAGGGATGTTTCTTCAGTTAGATCGAGGAACATGCTGTGTACTGAGGTGACAGTATCTGGAGGAGTCCTAACAATTGTTTGAGAAAGTGTGACACCGCCTGTTCATTTCAACAATGCCTGATTTTATCCATCAGCTGCATGGAGTTAGTGCTGTGTGGTACTGGTAGAGATGGTAAAGTGAGTTTGTGTAGTGTTGGCAGTCTTAACTGGGCTTTCATTACCCAAAGATAGATATTTTAGAATAAATTTTATACCTTTTTTCCTCTATACTAACATAGATATGTATAATTTTACAAGGGTTGTCTGATAGTCTGCTTTGTTTATGTAATAACATATCATGGGATTTGAAGAAGGCCTATGTGATGAGACTTTTTTGAACTGGAATTTCTAGTTGTATTCCCTGGGTTAGAATTCTTGGTCCTGGGCCCAGGGATATAGCTCAGTGAGCTGCACAGTGCCTACCTGGCAGGCTTGAGGTTGTGAGTTTGATTCCCGATACAAAACAAATTCTTCGTCCTATACTTGCTGTGTGACCTTGAACATGCCACTAAGTTTACCTGCGTTCCTGCTGTCTTCCTCTGTTAAAAGAGATGTATTTTAGCCTGCATCAGTAACACAATACCTTAACCTAAGGTATTGTGTACATTTAGATAATGTACAGAAATTTATTGACAACATGTTAGATAAGTACAAGAGCAAGAAGGGAGAACCTTTTGGTGATACTGTTCTTAAAGGTCTTCTTAAAGGTTTTAAAAGCTAGGTGTGTGGCGCATGCCTGTAATCCCAGCACTAGGAAGGCTGAGGCAGGAGGATTGCTTCGAGTTTGAGGCCAGCCTGGGCTACAAAATGAGTTCAAGGCCAGCCTAAACTGCATAGCAAAACTCTTATCTGAAAAAGACAAAAAAAATCTTTAAGGTCTTCTTAATAGAAGGGACAAATATTGAGACCACAAGGAAACTATAGTAGTGAATTTTTATGGTTATTACGAGGACTAAATGAGATGAGTAAAACATATTACAAGACATGGTTTTTAGTAAGAGCCCATTTAGTTTATTCAGTTACTCAAATATTTGTGTAGCATTCACATATTGTTTATTGTTATGCTGGGATACAATATTCAATAAAATAGAAAAAATAATAAAATATAGAAAATCCTTTTGCTGCATGGAATTTACTTTCTAGTTGGAGAGTGTGGTAAAATAAAACAATTTATGTAGTCTTTGTGATCTTCCTGACCCAGAGCTTCTAAAATTGTTGTAATTACTTGAATTTCTCATAATTCATGATCCCTGGTTGATCACATCAGTGTTTAAGCACATGAAATGACTTGAACTTTAAATAGCCTCAGAATGGGACTAGGGACCAAAAAGACCAAGTGATTAAAGCGAGTACTTCCCTTTTCATACCTCTAGAGAAGGAAGGGCAAGGCTGGAGTCTCAGCTGTATTAGAAACTTTTTCTGGTTTTGTTTTGAGACAGGGTCTTGTTATGTAGTTCAGGCTACCCTTGAACTCACTACGTATTCCACACTGGCCTCAAACTTGGTGTGGTCCTCCTGCCTCAGTGTCCTAGTGTGGGATTACAGGTGTGCACCACCACGCCGAGCTTCCATTAGAAACTCCCACACAAGAAGATGGAGCGTCTGGATGGTGAGTGGGTGGAGGCAGGATCCTTGTACCAGAGATGCTTTTATAGTTTGCCTAATGTACCTTTTCATTTGGCGGTTCAGTTCTTTTATTGTAGACTAGTAAACATAAAATATTTTCCTGAGTTCTGTGAGTCATTCTAGCAAGTAATTAAACTGAAGAGGGTTGTGGGAACCCCTAGTTTATAATGGGTTAGTCAGAAACATGGTTGACCTGGGACTTGGCACTGACATTTGAACTGGGGGCAGTGTTGTGGAACCAAGCTCTTAACCTGTGGGTTCTGTGCTAACTCCAGGTGGTTAATGTCCGGTAACTAATAATATCACACAGACAGATAATAACAGTCTACAGATAATTAAGTAAACATGGAAAGTATTACTGAAAAGTGCCAAGAAGATACATAGAGCAGAGAACCTGGGTAAGAAATATCCTCCAGGAGAAGATTGTTGAAGTATTAAGGTAGGCAGGGGAAGAACTGATGAAAAGAAGACTTTGAGTCTGAACTGAAGGGAAGTTAAGAGCAAGTTAGGTTCTAAATGGCAGTGCGAGGCCTTCGGTGAGCCTGCCTGGTGTTGCAGGGAGAGCAAGAAGGCCAGTAAGGCTGGAGCACAGAGGATGAGGGGAGAGAGTGGGGGCAGGTAAGACTCAAAGCATGGAAAGGTTTCTGGGTCCCTGCTGTTAGGACTTTGGCTTTTCCTAGGAGTGGAAGAGAACCCTTGAGCAGTTTTGAGCAGAGGAGTGATGTGAACAGATTGGTTTAAATGTGATCTCTTTAATCCTGTACTAGGAATATGCATGGCTGCATGAGGGCAGAAGCAGGGATTTAGGATCTGTTGCAAAATTCACATGTAGATGGTGGTGATTTAGAACACGATGGTGATAGGAAGGAAGGAAAAGTGTAAATTTAGTAAAAAAAAAAAAATTAACTTTTTTAAAGTGTTGGTGAAGTATTACACTCTGTGACAGTGTCATATATTTTGCCATTCCCCTAATGGTGTATTTCCTCAGCTATTTAAAACTATTGGCTGGGCGTGGTAGTACAGACCTGTAATCAAAGCCTGTAATCCCAACACTAGGGAGGATGAGGCAGGAGGATCGCCAGGAGCTCGAGGCCAGTCTGAATTACTACTACACAATGAGCACAATGAGACCCTGTATTGAAAAAAAAAATTAATAAAAATTGCCTCTAGGAGCCAGATGTCGTACTGCACTCCTCTAATCCCAGCAACCTGGAGGCAGAGGCAAGAAGATCTCAAGTTTGAGGCCAGCCTGGGCTACATGATGAGTTCAAGGTTCAAGGACTACACATATATGATGAAACTTTTGATTCACAAATTGAGAATGACTGTAAGCAGTAAATGAGTGCTTGCTGTTTTTAACACATAGTGTGTCTTTGTGTGTGTGAGAGAGAGTGTGTGTGTGAGAGAGAGAGACTGTGTGTGTGTGTGTGTGTGTGTGTGTGTGTGTGTGTGAGAGACACAGAGGGGTGGGAGAGTGTGTGTGTGTTTTACTGGGGATCAAACACGGCCTGGAGCATGCTAGGCAAGTGCTCTACCACTGTGCTGTGCCCAGGTTCACAATGTAGTTGTACTATTCAGCATAGTTTTAACTTTTAATATATCTTAAATTCTAACTAGAGAAAGACTTTTAAAAATATACTACTTAATTCGACCTTTTCTCTTCTTCTAGGTTACAGTTCCTCTCAGTCACCTTATCAGTGCCTTCCATTCACCAAAACCTGTGTCTGTTTCAGTCAGTGCATCCGTTTCTCAAAACAAGCATCGAGATGTAGTTCCAGAGCATGAGGCTCCCAGCAGTGAGGTAATGGTTTTTTACCCTGGTTGTGTGAGGAGCTCTTTCTGATATAGTAAATTGTAATAATGTTTGATCAAATATCAGCCAGCAATGTTTATTGCTCATGAGTAACTCATGAGTAATTACCTTCCAACTCTCAAGGAAGATAGTATAGTAACACATTGTTTTCTGACTTTCAGAAGCTTTGAGTAGAATTAAACAGTGTGGGTTTTTGAAAGTAAAATGTACAAGCTAGAAAACTATATTTTGAGTATTCATATAATTAGAAATCCAGTGATTCCTGGATTATAGGGAATTATGAATGTAAGAACGTTACTATTTCCAAATAAGGTAGTTATTTACAAGCCCAGAACATGTGGTATTTTTTTTTTTTTTGTACCAGAAATCAAACTCAGGACTGTGCTTTTTGCGAGGCAGGAGCTGTGCTGCTGAGCTATATCCCTGGCCTCAGGATACGTTTTTAAGAAAAGAAGTTAGGTAGTCAGATTTCCAAAACGCCTCTCTCCCCTGATGCTTTTAGTCCTGATGTCAGGAGTTCTGGCAAAGGACAGTGGAGGAAGATTAGAAAGATAGTTCTAGGGACTTTGTAGGACCAGTCTTGGAAAAAAAGTTGTGGTTAGATGACAAGTTTGTCATCTTTACACTCTCTTTTTTTTCTGTTTTCCTTTTTATTGTTGTTTTTCTATAGGCAGTCCATTGTCTCTACTGTTCTGATGCCCTTCACTCAAATTACAGTCCAGGTGTGGGGCGTGGTGGCACATGCCTGTAATTCCAGCACTCAGGAGACTGAGGCAGGAGGATCACCATGAGTTTGAGACCAGCCTGGTGACATAGTGACACCTTGTCTCAAAAAGCAAAACAAAATGCTCAAAACACAATTACTGATAAAATAGAATAGTTAATACAGTGTAATGAAAATGAAATGAATATGGTGTTTCTCTCAAAATAATATATTGCCTAGGGCTAAAAAACTGGAAAGAGATTGCCTATCAGGAAGGGTTATTATATGTATCAAAATTGCTACATGCAGCAGAATTATGCTGTCTTTAGAAATTTTAGAAAATGTTAGTGTAGGTAGAATTAAATTAATTTTAAATTTCTTTCTGGCACTGGGTTTGAACCCAGGGCCTCAAACATGATAGGAAAACACTTTACCATTAAACTACACCCCCAGCCCTTACAGGCTGATTTGGATTCCTCTTTGTTCCTTTAGTACGCTTATGATTTTTAAGGAGGTACTGGAAATTGAACTTGTGACCTCACGGTTGCTAGACAGGTACTGTACTGCTGAGTTAAATCCTTGGCCCTTTTTTGTGCTATATATTTTTTGTATTTTTATTTTATTGCTATTATTGTTTTGTCTTTTGGGGTAGGCTCTGCCTGTGTTGCCTAGGCTTGCCTCAGACTAGCATTTGTCACCTGTTTCAGCTTCCCAGATAGCTGGGGTTACGACATGTGCTA